ACGTGTGCTCTTCCGATCTATGCTTAAATTTCAAAAGATAATTTTTATATCGTTTTATTTCAGTAAAAATAGTTAAAAAGAAAGTGACACCGATTTAAACATTTTGAAAAAGCTTATTCTTAGAAAATTTTTTATTGGAAAATAGATTATATTATAATAATCGTGGAACTTTTAATTTATTTTTTTAATGATTATTTACTTTAATGTAATCTATTTTCCAATAACAAATTTTCTAAAAATAAGCTTTTATAAAATGTTTAAGTCGGTCTCTTTCTTTTTAACTGTTTTTACTGAGGTAAATGCAAATAAATGCGAAAAATCTATTTTATATGGATAAAAGTTATATTTACCCCAAGGTTGCTCCGCCGATGCCCGATGCCTCTGCCAGACCTCCTCCTCCTCTCAGGATTGAATAGGCGATACTGTAACAAAAAAACATAAAATTCATGAAAGACGTGCATAAAATGATTAACATTTCACATTATTTTATATCGATAAAACATTATATATATTTATCTCAAGGTTTTTGACGCCGATGCCCGATGCCAATGATTTATCCGCGTTAACCATGTTATTTCAACTGCATTATATGCTAATAACAAAAAAAAACGAAGTAATTACGATCGCGCATGTAGATTACAAAATCCTTTTTCCTTACTAAAAAAAGTCTTAATTTGCGACTTTCTCTTAATTCTGCACTTTCTTAATACAGCATTGCCACAAGTCGCAATCCGCAATTACTTCGTTTTTTGTTTCTGATATTAGCATATAACGCGGTTGAAATAACGCAGTTATCACGGATACAATCGTAATTTAATTTTTTACTACACAATACAATTAAATTAAAAATATGGATACCAGTTAGCTTCCCTAGATTTTAAAATCCTCAGGGTTCTGAGCCACCTCACTACGTCAAGGTCATACCTATTGGGGGGTGGGATATCGCCGGCGATCAGCTGCACGATAGCTGTCACAAAAATGAACACCGAGAGTCCTGTACGTTAGTATAAAATAGATTTGGATTAAGCGCCGAAGAAACGCTGCCGTCGCGAATAATCGAGCGCGAAAACATAGTTTAAAATTATTTTATTAATAAACGTGCGTAAGATAGAGTTTGATTAGGCGCCGAAAAAACGCGGCCAGCGCGAATAATCAAACGCGAAAACATAGTTTAAAATTATTTTATTAATTAACGTGCGTAAGATAGAATTGATTAGGCGCCCAAGAAACGTGGCCGTCGCGATCAAATAATCAAGCGCGAAAAAGGATTTTAAAATTATTTTATTAATTACGTACATAAGATAGAGATCGATTAAACGTCAAGGAAAGGCAGTCGTTCGAATAAGAGCGAAAAGTGTAACAATTTTATTAATTAATAAAGATAAGACTTAATCCCCGATGCGTTTTAAATAATTTTAAATAAGCGGGACGCAGAAATGTTTAATCAATAATGAAGGGGCTAAATTTCCGACGCAGTTTAAATAATCGGAACGCGGAGAAAATTTAACAAATACTGAATGGGCTCAATCGCGGTTTAAATCGCGCTTTTACACGAAGACTCAATGTATTTGTCTGAATATCTTATTGTTACTCCGTTGGTTTCGTTAGTTTAGTTTTGTTATTTTATTATTGTAGATTTTCCTTCAATCTTTAATAAGATTGAACGAATTCCCTGTAGCCCCTTCACGCATTTAAAGCGTTCTTCGTAAGCTCTTGCGTGCTTTCGCAGTGCCACCTCCTACTAACACGGGTACTTTAAATTTATATTTTATTCACTGAAAGAAATACGTGTTAAACACCACACAAAATTATTCTCATGCGTCACATGCATTTATTAATATAAATTTAAGCATGCAATATATACGACCGTATTTAAAAGAAAATTATTCGCAAATTTTCCAGAGATAATAAGAGAAATTTTCTCAAGCGTTTGGCAAAAAGTATAAAAGACAATAAAAAACATCTTTATTGAATTCGAAGAACTTATTAACAAGTAAATTTTTTCTTAGAATGTAATTCTTCTTACTATATATTTCTTATTACGATTCTTATTATTCTATCATTGTCTAACACTTTTTGCGAGCTTATGATTAAAATAATTTCTTTTCCCCCTATGCCTTTAAGTTTAAAAACATTTTTTAATTTTAAATGTACACACAATTT